GTGTACTTTATTATTACTATTATTATTAGCATTATTCACAGAATCATCTCGGTTGGAAAAGCCCTTGAAGCTCCTCCAGTCCAACCATGAACCTCACACTGACAGTTTCCAGCTCCACCAGATCCCTCAGCGCTGGCTCAGCCCGACTCTTCAACCCCTCCAGGGATCCCGGGGACTCCCCCCTGCCCTGGGCAGCCCATTCCAACGCCCAACAGCCCCTTCTGCACAGAAATCCTTCCTCAGAGCCAGCCTGACCCTGCCCTGGGCAGCTTGAGGCCATTCCCTCGGGGCCTGGCGCTGGGGCCTTGGCTCCAGAGACTCATCCCCCCTCTCTGCCCCCTCCTGGCAGGGAGTTGCAGAGGGCCAGGAGGTCTCCCCTCAGCCTCCTCTTCTCCAGACTGAACCCCCCCAGTTCCCTCAGCTGCTTCTTGTACAGTTTTTAGCTCAATTTACAAGCCTCCCTACCTCTACCCCTCCAAACCTATCCCCCACCCACCGTGAGGGGGAGGGTGAGCGAGCGGCTGTGATGTGCTGCTGGCTGGGTTTCAACCACGACAGGCGGGAACCCCCCGGAGAAACAATAACCGCCTGGGAGGAATCACACGCTCCCTCCTCCTCATGCCTCCACCAGCAGCCTGACAACAGACTTTGCTCAGCTCGTGCACAAGCTGCCACCATCAGTTGCTCTGTACAAGAAAATTTGCTACAGCAGAAAAACCCCAAACACCTGGAAGGGATGATTTGTAGTCTCCATCTTTCTGTCAAGAACAGGTTGAACAAACATCTCTTTGATGAAGTCAAGGATAAAGTTTGAAGTCAAGGATAAAGCGGGCTTTGATAAAGTCAAGGAGATGTTGACTGAATGAAGCAGTGGACTAGATCTTGACATCCAGCTTGAACTTTCTGGCTTCCTAAAGCCAGATTAAGTCACAGGAAATCCACCTTTTCCACCTGCCCAAGGGGCAAATCCTCTCATCACACACCTCCAAGATAAGTTTCTCTTTCACACATTGCAGAAACCCTCCCACCTGTTTTGAAAGTCAGATTTTTTTTTTTTTTAAATGTAAGAATTTGTGAATATAGAGAAGTCTGATTCTATCAGTCCTTTCTGATTTTTGGTGTTACTCTAGAAAAGTATCTTGACAGATGAGAAATGGAAGTATCTCCAGTCTACGCGGCACTAGGATTCACTTTAAAAACCTGCTTGAACCAAAGCAATGTGAGTAATTCAAGCAAACCAAAGCAATCATTTCAATGCAGGAAAAGGGGCACACGGTCACTTATTTTTTGACTGATCCAATGAAGTGTGATTTTGCTCCGGTCAGCTGTACTCTGCTTTGCATTCAAATACTGACATTAGCTTTAGAGAATGCAGGCTGCCCCTTGAGAAGACAATAAGCAAAATAAAAAGGCAGCTGAGGGTGAAAGGCAAAGCAGCTCGCTCCTTCACTTCACTGCCAGGAGAGGGTCTGCAGGGAGCTTTCCTCTGATACTCCAACCCAGTGGCTAAAATTAAAATAGACTGAGCCAACAAGGAGCCTCTGGTAGTTGTATTAAGTATTATTAAAATGACCACTTGAGCCCTGCAGTGCAGATAGAATACACCCCTCCCTCCACACACACCATGGCAGTGGCTAAATCTCCACAGTACATGGGCCTGCTGCAGCTCCTGCTCCCCCAGCACCGGCAGCCCCAATCCTGCCCAAACGCAGCTCCTGGAGCTCTGGCTGCCAGCTCAGCGGCACAAAAATAGGCAGCAGGGCCCCGGCAGCCCATCGCATGCGCTAGGACGGGACCAAGCCAAAGAGGCATTTCAGGTTTGCTGGCAAGGCTCTAGTTCTAAGTTATCACAGCGCAAATCTTCCTCAGTTGACAGCGAAACCCATTCCTGGGGTCTGCCTTCTTCGCTGTTCCCCTCAACGCCGTCAGTGACTCATTTCTAGGTTTTCGTTTCCTGTTACATTCACATTGGAATTTCTAACAGCTGCTGATTTGCATCACACAAGCCCTGCCAACTGCCCACAGCCTCTTGTCCACCAAGCCAACATTTCTGCAATTACCCTTTGTTTGCATAGTTTATTTAATGAGATGCCCAGGAGGCCCCTGGGGACTTTCCGCGGGCTCCTGCCCCCACGCAGATCACATCCCCGGGAGGGTCTCGGGATCCAGCCTCAGACAGATGCGGGTTCAGCTGGGAGTTCAGCTGGCACTCCAAAAACCACCGCAGCTCCCGTCTGCCCTGAAGGAAGAAGCAGAGAAAGCTCAAGATAAACTAGGTATGTTGCTGCAGCTGATGTAGCCAGAGCTGGGGGGCTGCTGGCCATGCACCAGGGACAGCACAGACACCCCAGTCTCACTGTGAGACCACTCTGGGCCCCCCAAGTCTGCAGCACTGAGCCCGCTGCGGGCTTCTTCTGCCCTCCAGCCCTCCCCA